GGATGGGATTAGCATTGGGATCGGGGTCGGGGTCAGGATAGGGATCGGGATTGTGATCGGCATCGGCATCGGGGTCGAGATTGGGATTGGAATCTGATTGTGATTGGGATCAGCATTGATATCAGATTGGGATGGGGATGGGGATCTCGGTCGGGATTGGGATCGGGATCAGCATCGGGATCGAATTGGCATCGGGATTGGGATTAGGATCGGATTCGCATCGGGATCGGGGTCGGGATCAGGATGGGGACTGGGATCGGCTGGGATCGGGATGGGGATCGGGGTCGGGATGGCCCCGCCCGTGGGCGGGGGGCGTGGCCCGCGGAGGGGGCGTGGCCCGGGCGGGGCCGCGCGCGGTGGGCGGGGCCCGCGCGGGTCTCCCCGCGCCGCTGCGGGGGCGTGGCCGAGGCGGGCGGGGCGGGGCCGTAGTAAGGGGGCGTGTCCCGGCGCGCGGCCGCGTTGCCCCGGGTGACGCGGATGCAGCCGGCACTGTGACGTCACCGGCGGGGCGGGGCCGCTCCCCCCATTCATCCCCCCCGCGCGCGGAGCGTCCCGCCGGCGCCCACCCAATCAGCGGGCGGGGGGGCGTGGCCGCCGAGCCCCTCCAGCCAATCAGGCGGCGGCGGCGGCCCGGGGCAACAATGGGGGGCGCCCGGGGCGCACGTGGGGCCGCGGCGGGGCCGGGCGGGGGTCGCGGCCCGGCCCGGGCGGGGGCAGCGCGGTGCCCGAGCGCCCTGCCGGGGCTCTCCGCTCCGCTCCGGCCCGCCCCGCCGCTGCCCCGCCAGCCGCGGGGGCACTCCCCTCCCCCGCCCTTCCCCCGCCCCTCCGGGCCCTCCCCCTGTGTCACGGCGGCGCCCGCATTCGGGAACGGGCACGGCGGAGGGAGGGAAGGAAGGAGGGAGCGAGAGGGAGAAGGAGAGAACGAGCGAGCGAGCCGCGGCCGCCCCAGCATGTGGCCCGCCCGCGCCGTGGCGGCAGCGCGGCGGCGGCGGCGGCGGCGGGCAGGTGCGCGGCCGCTGAAGCGGAGCGGGGGGGCGTAGGGGCGGGAGCCGCCCGCCGCCGCCCTCGCCGGCGCTGTCAGGTGCGTGCCGCCCGCCAGCATGGCTCCGCCGCGCCGCCGGACCTAGCGCCGGGCCGCCCGCGGGAGACTGCGCCCGCCGCGCCGAGGGCTCCCCACTATCTCCGTCCCGCTTCTCCCCGCTTAGGTGCCCCGCCGCCCGGCCCCGGAGCCCGCCGGTCCCCGTCCGAGGATGCCGCCCGCCGCCGCTCGCTCCGGTTCATCTGTTGCTGCCTGACCGCGCCGCCAGCCCGATGGATGCGGCCGCCCCCGCGCCCTGCCCGCCCGCAGCCGCCCCGCTGGCTACTGAGCCGGGAACCGCTCCGGAGCTCCGCGGCTGGTAAAAAACAAACCAAAACCAAATCCGAACCAAAAAACACTCCCCCGCTTCGGCCCGGACTGGAGAGGCGGCCGAGGACCATGCAGCGTGTCCCCCGGCTCGGCGCTCCCGGCGCGGCGCCGGGCGCAGCCGCCTCCTAGAGCCGCCGGACCCGGGGCTCCCCCGGACTCGGGGCTCCCCCCTCCAGGACCCGCGCACCGAGCGGCTCCTCCTTTCCTTCTCCCCTCCAGCCGGGCAGGGAGCCCGCCTTCGCACTCTTCTCCCTCTCCAGATTTTGGGTTTTTTGTTGTGTGTTTGGGTTTTTTTTTTGGGTGGAAACCGCCCGTAACTCCGGGGGGGGGCTGTGGGGTGGCAGCGGGGAGGCGACCATGGAAGAAAAGCTCCAGGCGCATCAGGTGGAGATCGACCCGGATTTCGAGCCGCAGAGCCGTCCCCGCTCCTGCACTTGGCCTCTCCCCCACCCCGACTTGGCGGAGGAGGAAGATGGGGGCGCGGGGGGAACCCCGGCGCTGGCGGCCGGCGGGGACGGAGCCGAGAACGCGGTGGCCCCGGTGGAGCGCAGAGTCGCCGCCGCTCCCCCGCCGCCCCCCGGCGCGGATGTGGGGCAGCTCCGCAAGGCCAAAACCTCCCGGCGCAACGCCTGGGGCAACCTCTCCTATGCCGACCTCATCACCAAAGCCATCGAGAGCTCGCCGGAGAAGCGCCTCACCCTCTCCCAGATCTACGACTGGATGGTGCGATACGTCCCCTACTTTAAGGATAAAGGAGACAGCAACAGCTCTGCCGGCTGGAAGGTACCTGACCCCCTGACCCCAACCCCGGCGCAACTTTGCCCTCTCTCCCGAAGGTGTGCCGGAGCTTGGAGCTTTCTCCCGGGGCAGCCGGAGCTCGGTCCTGGCGGGGAGGGTGGGGGGATCCCCGCCGTCCTCACAGCTGGGGAGATAAGGGCTCGGTCAAGTTTTGGGGAGAGCCGGTGCTTCGTTGCGTTGTGTTTTGGAACCGGGGCGAGCTTGTCCCCGTGCCAGGGCTGAGGGTCGGAGCGGTGCCGCCGTCCCCCGGGAGGTCAGGGCGAGGGACGGCGACAGGCAGCGGGGTCGCGGGCGGCTCTCCCACCCTTAGGTGAGCCAGCGAGTGCCAGCCCCACGCAGCGGGGTACAGCGACGCCAACCCCGCCGGCACAGCTCTCCCGGCCCTGCCCGTGGGGATGCCGGCCGTGCCAGCTCCCCGGTGCCGGTGGCGTGGCCGGAGGGCGGGCTGTACCGGAGCGGCTGTCTCCGCACGGGCTTTCACCCGCGGCGTCCCCGCCGGCTCAGCCCCCGCCTTCCCCGGGGCCGCGTCCCCGTCCCGCCGGGCAGCGCACGGTCCCCGCGGCTCCGGGCTGGCATTCCCCGGCTCCGTGCTCGCCTGGCGCTGCGGGCTCCCGAGGATTCCCTGGCGCAGGCAGTGCTCCCTGCTTGTCGCTGCGAGCTGGGCATCCATGGCACCAGCGAGGGCACGGAGGGTGCTGGGTCTGGGGTCACCCCGACCCCTGCCCCTCTGGGGGGGCTCTGCACGGGAGAGGGAGAAGAGATCGGCTGTGTCCAGATGGTGTCAGTAAAAAGGAGCCAGTTTCTCTTAAGTCCTCCCCTAAGCCCTGTCACCTCCGGTGTGATTAGTGTGTTAGCAGGCTCCGGGGGCTCCCACACCAGCCTGACGGCCCTGGCACGCGTGTCCTGGCTCTGCTGGGGGCAGCTAGATCCAGCCCACCTCGGGGGGTCGTTCTTGGGTGCAAACTGGGCTCTTTTGGGGCAGGAGGGCTGGACTGTATGGCACCTGTGTCCAGGAGCTGCTGTTGTGTGGAGGCTGGGCACCCACTCCTGATGAGTGGGCTGAGGGCAGCTGGTGTGCCCTGGTGCGGGGAGGGTGCCAGGGCTGCGGAGGTGGCAGGAGGTGGTGCCTGTGTGGGGCTGTCCAACCTCCACCTGAGGTGAGACCCGCACAGGCCTGGGCAGAAAGGGTCTCTCAATGCTCACACACCATGGGGACAGCAGGGGACATGCACTGATGGGGTCTGGAGATGTGCCAGGGGGCTGGCAGGGCTGGGATGAGGAGTGAAGGGATTCCCAGGCAGTCACGCGTGTCACTGGGGGCTTCACATTGCGTGGTGTGCGAGGGGGGAGGAGAGGCTCAGAGTCCAGCTGCTGTTGGGCACCAGGGTCATTTTTGGGGGCTGCTTGCTCAGGTGGGCTCCTCTGTGTGCCCCCCATCATGGGGTGCTCTCCCCTTTCCTGGCCCATCTCTGGCTTGGAGCTCCTCTGCCGTGGCTCTGCCTGGGCTGCACTGCTGGGGCTGTTCCCTCCTGGCAGCCTCCCTTGCCCCCCGGTTTGCACTGGGATTTGAACCCCCTTGAGGGCTGTCCCCTGAAGTGCCCTGCCCACCCAGGGGTGCCCTGGAGCCTCTCCTGGTGTTGCAAGTGCCCAGCTGGGGCTGGCACTGTCAGGGCTGGCAACAGCCTGAGCGAGAAGCAGAGACCCTCTTTGCTTGGTGGTTTCATCAGACACCAGCATGTCAGGGGTTAAACACCTCCCCCACAGCCCGTGTTCCCTCCTGGCTGTCCCCTGCCCCAGTGTCCCCTGGGTGTCCCCTCCCCTGCGTGTCCCCAGGGCGCTGGGCAGTTTTCCCTGTGGCCCCAAGCGTGGGAGAAGCATGGCAGGGCTTCAGCTTTTCCTGGCCAGAGTCGGAGGGAGGGCTCGGCTGCTTCTTTGGTTGTTCCTTCACAGCCTCTGTGTGCTGGACAGAGCAGGGTGGTGGGGTCTGAGGGCCCAAAATGCCCACGGGCATCAGCTGTGCTGCTGCTCTGGCAGGGCTGTGTAGGATCATGGAATGCTTTGGGTTGGAAGGGACCTTAAAGCTCATCTCATCCCACCCCCTGCCATGGGCAGGGACACTTTCCACCAGACCAGGGTGCCCAGAGCTATGTTCAACCCAGCCTTGAACACTGCAAATCCCACTCTTGACTTCTCCAAACCCTCTCTGCCTTGTGCCAGCACTGGAGGGACCTTCACAGGTGGACCCCTCCCTGCATGCAGCTGGCAGTGGGGATGCTGAACATGCAGCTGGCTGTGGTGTCTGGTGTGTCCATCAGGAATGTGTGCCCATCAGGCTGGTGGTTGTCTCTTGAAAGGGAAGGCTGTTGGCAGGAGTTGCATTTTGGGGTCAGGCCTCTCCTTCCCCACCAGGCTGCGCATTTCTTTACATGGTTTCATACAATCACAGAACCTCAGAATGGTTTGGGTTGGAAGGGCCCCCAAAGCTCATCCCATTCCACCCCCTGCCACAGCCAGGGACACCTTCCACTATCCCAGCTTGCTCCAAGCCCTTTTCCACCTGGCCTTGGACACTGCCAGGGATCCAGGGGCAGCCACATCATTCCTGGTGAGGCAGTCTGAGGGACAGAACCCAAACACCTCAGCCATGCCCAGCCTGGGACCAGGACCGAGACCTGTCTGGGGCTGATGGGGAGCCCAGTGGGGTTGCTCTGGCTGCTGATCCTCGGGACGTGCATTCCCCCCAGGCTGAGCTGGCTTGTTGGGCTTGTGCACCAGGAGCTGGAGCTGCTGCTGCTGCTCCCTGATGCAGGGCAGCGGGCGCCCGCTGACTGACAGTTCTGCTTAATTAGGGAGTTGTTATTTTATCAATTCCAAAGCGCTTGAAGTTTTCTGCTCCAGCTCACGCTTTCCTCTTGTTAATGGGAAACCAACACCCTCCGTCAGAAAGGCAGCGGCGCTGATGCATTTTAAAGGGTTCGGCTTGCTCCGGTTTGACATCCAAAATATAACAATCAAGCCATCAGCTGGTGGATGCCTGTTTGATGCGGCTCTGACAGCGCTGAAAACCTTAATTTCTCAGCCTTCCCTCCACCTCCTCCTCGTTTATATTGCCGGGTCGGTAGCGTGGCGACCGTGCCTGGCATGGGGGTCAGAACTGCCGGGGGCTGCCATGCAGAGACACCCCCCTGCTGAGTGCCACCGTTCTCCTGCAGGGCAGAATGGAAATGAATTAGGCAGAAAAAGGTGTGGAAATGGTGTGTGAGTGGCAGCGTGGCCAGAGTTCTCATTGCTGCTCGAGGATTTGGGGTCCCAGGCTGCTGCCCCTGCCTGCTGCTCTGTGACCCCTGAGCTATGGCCAAGGCAGAGCGTCCCGCTGGGCACCCCGGAGGATCCTTCCAGGGAGCAGCTCCTGGCTCTGTGGCTCTCTCACTGGTGCCACCCCTGCCCTTCCCTCCTGGCTGGGGTCAGTGCCTCTGGAGCGTTGCCCAGCGCGGCTGGAGAGGCTCCAGCGCAGCGCCTGGGAGCGATGGGGATGGATCCCGTCACGGAGGGCGTGGGTGCTGCCCCTGGGGTGGCACAGCCGTGAAGGGGCAGGCACAGGGAGGTGGGTGGCCTGGCTCTGGGGGTGCACAGCAGGCTGGCTCCCGTTTGTGCTGGTTTAGCAGTGCGGGTAGTGCCCGGCTCGGGAGCCCGGCTGAGTGCGGGCTGGTTGTCAGGGCTCCCCTTGGGGCAGTTTGGCCGGGCTCGGCTCGGTCACGGATCCCATCCTCGCCATATAAGGCGATTTTTCCAGCGGCACGGAGAGCCCGATGCTCCCCAGGCTGCCCTGGGCTGGGAGCAGAGGGGCTGGTCAGCCCCAGGGGCAGGCAGGGCTGGGGGGAGCTGCCGGCTGCTTCACCTCGGGGAACCCCTCTGCTCCAGCTCCACCCTGCTCCTGGATAAGCCACCCTGGCTCTCCTGTCCCCACCCCCGGGATGCCCTTGTGTGAGCTGGGCTGGGGTCTCTGACCCTTCAGTACCCCGGGGCTGCAGCGGGGTCTCCCCAGCTGTCCCCAGCTTCTCCTAGGGATGGTGGAGCCCACTCACATCCCCTGAAGTGCTGCGGTGCTGCTGTGGCTGTGAGGATTCCCCTTTCCTCCTTCCCACCTCATTTTGCTCTCTCCTTTTGGAGGTTTTCATCTTCTAATTTTTTTTTTTTCTTTTCCCTCTCTCCCTTCTTCTGGAATCGCTTCTCATGCAGCGCTAACTGCTGAAGTAACACAAACCTGCTAAATGGTCCGGCTTTATGATAGCATAAAAATGATACTACAGAAGCGAGTGGGGCTTTATTAAACCCCAGGGAAAGGCTCCAAATGAACAGCTTGCTCTGCTCTTAGCTTCCTCCCCCTACTCCCCCCTTTATTTTTAATAACCACTGGAATATAAACTACAGTTAAGATCCTGTGGACTAGAAGAGCGCTTGCAGCGTGGCACTCTCACCATCTTCCTCCTGGATCCTTGTGTGCATCCCTGCCTCTGTTTCCTGGTGCTATGGTGAGAGAAGGACCAATATCCTGGGCTAGAAAATGGGTTTTGTGATTAAAAATCCTTGTAAATATTTTTTTTTGGGAGGCTGTGGGTCGGGCCAAGTGTGTTTTGGGAGCGAGTTGGGGCTCCTTGGCCAGGTTTCCCTCCGTGGAATGCTGCTGGCAGTGGGAGGCCCTTGTGGCTGAAGGAGTGGGGTTGGACACCTGTCACCTCTGGGTCCTTGCAGGGCATTGACAGGAAGGGGGTGAACGTCCCCTCCCCGTGCATCAGCAGGGTCTGGCATGGTTGGACCCCCATCCTCAGGCTGCCCCCTCCATCCCTGGGGCTCATCCCAGGCCTCACAGCCACTGTGTCCTTGGGTGTCCCCGGGGGATGCTCTGGAGCTGGGTGTGGGTCTCCCCTCACCCTGACACCCCACTGCACCCCACGGAGGCAGCTGCCCCCCAATCCCTGCCCCCA